CTTCCTTCCTTCCTTCCTTCCTTCCTTCCTTCCTTCCTTCCTTCCTTTCTTCCTTCCTTCTTTCCTTCCTTCCTTTCTTCCTTCCTTCTTTCCTTCCTTCCTTCCTTCCTCCCTCTCTCCCTTCCCAGAATACTCTGCTAGGTGTTGTAGGAGAGCAGCAGAGAATGGTATGAGTGCTGAATTTAGCTCAAGCCTTAGAGTAAGTAAGGAGAGATCCAAGTTTGAATTTAGCTGTCTGACCCAGACAAGTCACTGCCCTTTTCTCAGCCTGTTTGCTCATCTGCAGAATGGGGATAGTTGCATTGCCTACTTTGCAAAGTCATGGGGAAAGTACTTTATAAGCCTTAAAGCTCTATGTGGATATGAGCTATCATAGATTCCTCCACGGAGCTTCCAATTTTGTAGGGTTATAAGACAGCAGTGCTGGACAAATACATTAGAGAAGTGCAAAACAACATGACCAATTTCCCTGGGTATAGATTTTTTTTTCATTCTAAACCAACAGCCAGTAGATTAAAGACTACCCGAGCTGAAAGCAAAATGTCCCCCTGTGAAAGTAGCCTGCTCCAGAGTTTGTCGGTCCACCTCCAGGCTAAGAAAGCTCCCAGATGCCTCAGGGGAAAAGAGAGCCACATTTTCTAGTGGAAGAGCCACATTTTAATTAACTTCCCCTGCAGTCACTAGAGAAGCTGGTAATTTTAATAAACAAAGGAGAAGGCCAAGGCTTTGTCTTGGTGCAGCAGTGAGTCATATGGAATGAATTCCAAACAAACCTTCACAGCAGAGACCTTCACAGTACCAGAAACTTGGCTGTAGTTGCTGCTCTGGGAAGATTTTCATCAGATCACAGTATCTGGGATTTGAAATCGGCATCAATAAGAACAGAAAAAGCAATAATCATGAGGCCAAAAAAAGCCTAGGGGTGTCATTTAGTCTATCCTCCTGCCTCTAGATCGAAACATACAAAGTCGGAGCTGGAAGAGACCTGAGAATATAGGTCAGGATTGAAAGGTATCTTCCTCTTGCACAGGTCTGACCTTGTCACTACTTTAACATCTACAGCAGCTCCCTATTGCCTATAGGATAAAAGAAAAAGTCTCTATCTTGGTGTTTTTTTTAAGGCCCTTTACACTCTGGCTGGGAATTTCTTTTCCAGACACATCTATTGGCTATTCCTGGATCCTCAGGACACAGCACAGGAAAATAAGATGATAAGAATAAATACTTTTTAATTGAAATGTCCACAGAAAATAGGTTAGAAATGAGGAGGAGGGACCTTAGAACAGTAAGAGACCTTAAAACAAAATCAGGGCTAAAAGGGACCTTAGAATATAAAATGTCAGTCCTTTGGGGAAAGCAGATTCTCACATTTCTGCATGAAGGTCTTTTAGCTCTCACAGACTGAAATGTTCTTACCTCTAACCTAAGAGGGAAGTGGCTTTTCCCCTATCCATAGCTCCCATTTCCTCTCTCAGAACTGATATCTCTAGCCAGCAGCAGGTGAGACATAGTACACTCCCCCTCCCTGCCTCACCTCTCCCTGGCTCCCAGCATTTCTCCTGCACCCTCATCTTCCACTGCTCTTGCCTCTACACCCCTTTATTAGAAGTGATTGGGATGCATTGATTGATTAGGAAATAGCTAAAAAAGTTGTTGTATGTGATTGTAATGCAATGTTACTGTGCTATAAGAAATGATGAATATGAAGAATTCAGAGAAGCATAGAGAGACATGAACTGATGCAAAATGAAGCAAGCAGAACCAAGAAACACTATACATAATGACTACAACAATGTAAATGGAAAGAACCAAAAAAAGAAAAAGAAATTGCACACTGCATAATTATAATGATGAAGTTGGCCCTAAACAATCAAAAAAGTATACCTTCCTCCTTTCAAAAAATTATATTTTAGTTATTTTAATATTATTTAAAAAAAATTTGAATTCCAAATTCCAAATTTTCTAAATTCTCTCCGTCCCTCTAGCCTCTCCTCAACCCACTGAGAAAGCAAGCAATAAGATATTGTGCAACACATTTTTATATTAGCTGTGTTGCAAAAAAAAAAACAACAAAAATAAAGTGAATGATGTATACTTCAATCTGCACTCAAAATTTATCAACTCTTTCTGCCTTCCTTCTTTCTTTGTAGAGGTGGGGGACACTAGGCATGGAATATTACATATTCTTTCAGACTTGTTGATCTACTGGCTTATTTATTTATTTATTAGGCAATTGGGGTTAAGTGACTTGCCCAGGGTCACACAGCTAGTAAGTGTCAAGTGTTTGGTCTGAGGCCAGATTTGAACTCGGGTCCTCCCGACTTCAGGGCCGATGCTCTATCCACTGTGCAACCTAACTGCCCCGCTATTGGTTTATTTTGCTGAAATGATTTTTCCTCTCTTTTTTATTCTTTGTTACAGCGGTGGTTTGAGGGAAGAGGGATTTATTCAGAAATGAAGGTGACATGAAAACAAAATATCTATAAAAAGTTGTGTGTGTGTGTGTGTGTTTTTTTAAGAGAAAAGTGACTAGATTGTTAACAGCAACTACAACCTGTTCATTTTCTTCCTCACCTACCCCCTGGACAGATAAAAGTAGTTTCTTAGAGAGGAAAGTTGTTTCTGGTCCATGATTGCCTCTCTAGAAGGGGCTTTTCTGGCCACACCCTTCACTCAATATTTACTTCTAACAATCATCCTCTTCATAGGATCATAGTTTTAGAACTGGAAGGGACTTGAAGGAAGCCAGGGACATCAGGAGTCCAACCCCTTCATTCTGCAAGATGAGGAAACTGAGGAACATCATCATCATGGAGGGAGGGAGGATGGTAACATGGAAAAAATGATGACTATGATATTAGATGGTGGAGAGGAGAGAGATCCTCCCAGACATGGGGGACAGCCAGTGAAAATGCCCAGAATCAGGAGACAGAGTGTCTTGTTGGAGGAATGGAAAAGGAGACCATTGTCACTGGATTGCAGAATAGTTGGGAGGTGGATGAGTATTAAGGTATAAGACTGGAAACGTGTATGTGGTGGGGCAGGGCGAAGCAGGTTATGAAGGGCCTTGAACACCAAACAAAGGCTGTAGAAAGTTAGTGATGGTCTGTACTAGGCCCTAGCCTACTGGCTCCCGAGCTAGCCCTCTTGTTTATTGATTATACTGCCTGTTTATAGATTGGTTGCTTGACATGACTCTCAGTTCTTTACCTTTTCTCCCACTGCTTCCTCTGGTAGGCTGAACTTGGCAAGCCTCGGGAAAGGAACAGTGCTCTGCCTGGAATTGATTTTAACTATGGACTGTATATTCATGGACTGGATGGAGGAGTCCCAGAAGGTAAGATGGTACAAGTTTGTATGTTATAGGGCAATAGAAGTCAAAGGATTGGACAGGAAAGCAAACCACTCTTCCCCTAGCTGGTGGGTCATGATTGTCCGTTTGGCTGAGATGTGGGCAGTAGTGGGATTGGTCCAGCCAGAAGGAGCCAGGGTTAAGGATTCAGCTAAACACGTGATGCCTGTGAGGTCTACAAAGGCAAGATATCAAGTCCAGAGAGGTCACTTAAAGCTCGGAAGAACAGGCAGAATAGCATGGGTCTTAATAGCCACCTAAATGGCATTCTTTATTTCATCTATTTATTCATTCTTTTTTTTTCTTTCATTCAATAATGATTTGGGGAGTCAGTGTGGTACAGTGCTTGAATTTAGAGGTATAGGTTCAAATCCAGGCTCTGCCTATATTACCTCTGGTAAGTTGCTAAACATCTCTGGCCTTTAATGTCCTCATATCTAAAATAATGAGGTTGAACCAGATGACGTCTGAAGTACCTACTGGCTCAGAATCTGGAATGAGAGGAATTTTCCCAGTGGTACTTGCTTAGCTACTACTGTGAGTATCTGAGTTAGGTGTAGGTTATAATTCTTCCGAGGAGTTGACACTTAACTCAGAAAAGGAGAGGCTAGAAGCTTGAATGGGGGAGGAAGAGGTACAATGGGGATCTGTTGGGGGAGGGAAGGAAGGAAGGAAGGAAGGACTTGAAAGTATCTTCATTATTCTTTTGTCTCCCTTTCCCCATAGCCATTGGACACTGGAATGTTTTGAAACAGCAGCCCACCTCCCCCCAGGCTATGACTCGGGATTTTATTGCCATGAACCGTGGTGCAGTCAAGGCTGGTCTGGTGACAGCCAAGGAACATTTCCTATACCGCCAACTCAATGATATACGCAGGAATGACCAGGATGAGAGGTGTTACAAAAAGGACCAGTCATCTGTCCCTCCAGATATTACCTTTGGGATCCGGGCACGGTAAGGCCTGGCCTGTAACCAAAGCCCCACCCTTCCCTCTGGGCTCTATCCCACCTGTGGAATCAGAGCACAAGCCCAAAAAACTACTGAGGTAGTGATTAATGGGAATATCACCTCAGGTTTCACAAGTGAGTGAGCATAGTCTGATATCTCAAAGAACCAAACATAGTACAAACTCCTTAAATCTAACCATAGGTTTATTGATAATATGCCACAAATGGTACCTATATTTCAAAAAAGAATACAAAGACATATGTGTCAGCTTTTCAGGCCACTCAATTTCTCAGTTGTCGCTTTGGTTCTCTGAGTGGCAAAAGTGAACTTGATACTTCCAGAAAAAAATAAACAAAATAGCACTGTTGAGAACTACAGGGTAGGTCCTAGTGGCTACAGTGGTTAGGGGTAGTACTGTTTTATTCTCAAGAGGGCAAAGACTGCTATAACCTTCATCAAATGCTCTGATAGAGATAGAATAAGCAAATTCCAGTTAGCCTTGAATGTTCAGGTCATGAGTAAACTAGATCAAAATGTCCTTAATGGTTGGTAGGATTCCCTTGGGAGAAGAAGTTCTAGCTGATTCTATCTGCCTCTCCCTCTGAATGAAGAGCCACAGTCTCCCTTGACACCACTGAGACTCTGCCTTACAGTGGGTGCTTAGCATCCATGTTTACATAGGGTCTGAGAATACTTAGGATGGCAATGACCTAATATTTTTTCTAGATTATACTCATACTTTTACAAAGAGTTGTATCTCATCCACTCCAGACTGGGAAAGTCCCATTAAAAAATATAAAGTGCTGTGTGGGCTCTGGAGAATGACAGATCATCTCTACTTGGGAGGATCAGGGAAGGACATAAGGAGAAGATGGTGTCTGAGCTGGGTCTTGAAGGATGTGTAAGTACTGTGTGGAGAAACTAGAGTAGGGGTAAGGAAAAAACAGAATGAACAAAGACATAGAGGTCAGAAACCATCACTGGGTTCTAACTAATCTTGTATACATAAGGTGTGTGAAGATGAGGTAAGACTAGAAAGGTAGAACGAGACATTAAAATATTGAAATGTCACTGATGTTTAGAGTGGGGGTGGGATGGAGAACAGGCTTCCCAAAGGAAGCTCTGAACACACATGGACCTGGGTTCATTCTTGCAGGAGGTTGACCCTAAGGAGAAGGAATTCAGGCTTTTTAATCACACTCTCTGGTTCTTTATGCCTCACCCCCAAATCTCAGGGAATCTCTCTTAAATAACACTTAGTTTTAGCTCATGTTTAGGGTCTCCCTAGAAGGAATTAACAGTGTCCCTTCCAGACAAGCTATTCAAAGTACAAAGTAGTAGTATCAGATATAGGACAGCTATTTATTTCTTCCTCTATGAAAGAAATACTTAAAATACAAAAGATTCATAAGTACTTACTATGTGCCAGAAAGAATTCTAGATACAAAGGAAAGCAAAAACATTCCCTGCCTTTGAGGAGTTTAGTCTAATGGGGGAGTCAACACGTAAACAACTATTTACATACAAAATATATACAGTGTAAATGGGAATTACTCTTAGAAGGAAGTCACCAGTAGTGGGGGGTGAGGAGGTAGGGTAGAGAAAACAAGAAACCATCTTCTGCAGAAGATGGAATTGAGTCATGAAGGAATCCAAGAGGTAGTAGCGAGGAGGGAGAACATGAACGACTTAGAGGACAGCCAGGGAAAAGGCATGATGCACTCTAGCACAGTGAGAGTCTACACACCAGAGCAAGGAGAAGGAACAGGTGCCAACTGGAAGCTTTGTCACTTACCACCAAGTTCCCGGTGACAGATCAAGGACAGACTGAGGAAGGGATTTGTGCCCAAGCGTGGCTTTCTAGGAGTAAGGAACTGTCCCCAGGCCCTAGGGTGGGTACTGAAAGAGGAGAAATTTAAGAAATAAATAACAGCTGTGCAGCTTGGACCCCAGGAGCAGAGATGGGTCTGACTTGTAGCCCAGTCTGAAATCTGCAGAGAAATAACCAGGGCAGGAATCCCAGACTAAAGGAAGCTTGTGGTTCTGTCACTCTGAACCAGCAGAACTTACCAATGAATTAATAGGGGCTGAGTCCAGCAGCACTCTACTGTTGCTCAAATCCAAATCCAGGTCAGGAACTTGTGGAGCTCAGACCAGGGGATCAGTGATCAGACGTTGCCCTGAGTCAGATCAGTCAAGAGCACTGATAACCTGCAGATCCCTAGTGTAAGCTGTTCCTGAGAGCCTGGAATAACACAGTACTCAATGCCCCAAGAAAGTGGCAATAGGACCAGCCCAGACCTTCCCTCCAGAAGCTCACCAAGCTTGGCCCTAACATCAAATTTGAAATCAGGATGAAGGCTGGAAGAATGACCAAACAAAAAAAGAATCCCAGCATCAAAAGCGAATAAAGTGACAGGGATGCTTACGACACAAAGCTAGGAGAAGAGAGTGACTTCCAATCGTCTACAAGTAAATCCTCGAAGCAAAACACAGTGTGGGAACAAATTCAACTATAATTCTTGGAGGAGATGAAGCAAAAGGTTTTTTTTTAAGTCTTTTAAAATCTTTTTTTTGAATGAAATGAGAACACTAGAGGAGAAAAATAGAAAAGAAGTAAGAGATATAGAAGAAAGAATTGGAAAGGAAATTAAGAGCTTGACAAAACTTTGCCCAGACAACAAATTCCCTGACAACTGGAATGAACAAAATAGAAGCCAATGACTCCAAGAGAGAATATTAAAACAAAGTCCAAAGACTGGAAAAATGGAAGAAAATGTAAGATATCTCATAGTAGAAACAACTGACCTGAAAAATAAATTGAGGAGAAAAAATTTAAGGATCATTGAACTACTTAAAGGCCATGACAAAAAAAAGTAGTCTAGACATTATAATTTTAATAAATGACAAAATAAATCTACCTAGATCTCTCAGAACTAAAGGGCAAAGAGGAAATAGAAAGAATCTACCTGTGACCTCCTGAAGGAAATTCTAAAATGAAAATTCCCAGAAACATTACAGCCAAAATCCAGAGCTTCCCATCAGAAGAAAAATACTTTAAGCAACCAGAAAGAAATAATTCAAGTATTAAGGAGCCTCAGTCAGAATCACACATGATTTCACAACTGCCACTATAAAGGAAGGGAGAATTTGGAATATTACATTCCAAAAGGCAAAGTATATAGACTTACATCTAATAATAACTTACTTAGCAAAACTGAGTATAATCCTACAGGGAGAAAAATGGATTTTTAATTAAATCCCAGACTTCTAAGCATTCCATGCAAAGAGAGGAGTCAAAAGAAACACAAAAAGGTAAACACAAACAAAAAATCATTAGGGACGAAACAAAGATAATGTGCTTACATTTTAATATGGGGACATTATATAGACACACACACATACACACACATATACATACATACATACATACATATATATCTTGTCTGAACTCTATCATCATCAGGGGCCATAGAGAGAGTCTTATTAGACAGAAGACCTAAGAAGTGAATCTGTTATGTCTTGATGATCCTAAAAGAAGAATGGAAGAAAGGGGAGAGAAATACACTTAGAGGGGAAGAGGGAAGGAAAAATAAGGTTAGAAAATATTATCTCATATGATTTGGGTACACAAGTAGAAGTCTATAAAGGTGATCCTTAAACCTCACTCTCACCTGAATTGATCAAAGGAGAGAAGAATAAACACACACAGTTGGGTACAGAAATATATTTCATTCAACAGGAAAATAGGAGGGAAAGGGGAGAGCAGGGAACGGGGAATCAGAGAGACAGAGAGAGTAGACTAAGGAGACTGGTCCTAAGAAAAAATGAACTAAGGATGTACACAAATATTTATAGCTCTTTTTGAAATGGCAGTCTGAGTGGATGGCCAATTAGGGAATGGCTGAATAAGTTATGATTTATAAATGTGATGGAATATTATTATACTGTAAGAAATGATGAAGAGAATAGTTTCATAGAAACCAGGGAAGACTTAGATGAATTGATGAGGAGCAAAATGAACAGAATCAGGGTAAGAATTTATACATTGACAATATTGTAAAGACAAATAACTTTGAAAGACTTAAGAAGAAACTCTTCCTAAATGTGATGACCAACCACAATTTGAGAGGACTAGTGATGAAACATGTGACGCACCTCCTATTAAAGAGGTGAGAGATTCAAAATGAATAATCATCCACAATGTGTGTAAATACACACACATATACAAACATCCCTATGAGGGTTTTTTCTTTTGGACATGGACAATGCAGAAATTTATTCTGCTTGATTATACATGTTTGCAACAAGAGTTTTATCTTTCTTTTATTATCAGTGGGGTAGGAGGTGGGAGAAGGTAGATTTTTGCTGATTGAAAAAAACAAAATGTAATTTTAAAAAATAGCAATAGAAAAGTTGGGAGGAAGGCAGGGTTTTGGGGAAAAGAGAACGAGTTCTGTTTTGGACATGTTGAATTTGAGATCTCAAGGGCTCTTTGGTGGACACCCATGATCATCAAGCATGACCTGGATGACGATCCTGTACAGGATACTAAGAAAGAACAGTCAGGTAGAAAGAGAACCAGGAAAGAGAAGTGTCATGAAAATCTAGAGAGGAGAGAGTATTGATTGAGGAGAAGAAGGTGACTGACAATGTCAAAGCCGTAGAGAGGTCAGGAAGGATAAGGATCTCTGGTAACTTTGGAGAGAGCAATTTCAGTTGAATGATGAGGTCAGAAGTCAGACCACAGAGAGTTCAGAAGAGCATAAAAGCAAATGAAGTGGAGGCACTTATTATAAATGGCCTTCTCCAGGAGTTTAGGAAACCTCTTCTATGTGTTGTCTTCTCCAGTGGAATGTGAACTCCTTGAGAGAAGGGAATGGCTTACTTTTCTGCTTGTGTTCCCAGGGCTTAGCACAGTACTTTGTACAGAATAAGCATTTAAAAAATGCTTTTTCATACATTCATTCGTTCAAAGTGGCAGGCTATATATGCTGACTGATGTA